TGTACTTTCATTTAATTTGCATAAAATAGTTAATATGATAATTTAGGGGCTTTTGTTGTTTGCAGCAATGTAATATCATTTGAGTTGCAAAAGTTCGTTAAAATGACCATGTAAAGGGTTGTTTTGCCATCTATATCAATGTTCTTTCATATGATTTCCATAAAATCAATAAAGGGCTTAAAGATGTTGTGTTGGCATTTATAGCATTGTATTTTCATTTGAACTGCAAAGAATCATTAATATATAGGGTTATTTTGACATTTATAGCAATGTACTCTCATTTGATTTGCATAATATCATTAAAATTACCATATATGGGTTATTATGTTGTTTATAACAAGGTACTTTCATTAATTGACATAAACTTAGTATAATATCCAACAATATTAACATGCATTATCTTTCATTCTTGAAGCAAGGGTTCATATTCCGTTTGAAAATAAATGAAATTAGGAGTATATTAGATTTTCTTTTCAAAAAAAACTTACATTTAATTTCCAGAGCAATATTAAAGTGATCATAACGTGTATATTATTTCTTTACACAATAATAAAAATGATTCTAGAAACATATGTGAAAATAGGAGTATATTAGATTTTCCTTTCAAAAAAACTTACATTTGATTTCCAGAGCAATATTAAAGTGATCATAGCATGTATATTATTTCTTTACACGATAACAAAAATGATTCTAGAAGGAGGCTACATCAAGTAACACCAACATCAGATAGTGCCTCCGTAAGGTTGCAGATGGTCATTTTACCGCAGCAGTGAAAATGTTATGCTCATCGGGTGTTGCACCATATAATGGTGATACTATTAAAGCTTTGGAGGACAAACACCCTTTCAGACCACCCCATCCATGCTGAGCCCTATAATTTCTGAACCTCCCCTTGTAGCAGACTTTGATTGTGTATTTAGTTGCATCAAATCCTTCCTTAAAGGAACTTCTTGCGGGAGAGATAGCTTGAGGGCTCAACACTTACTAGACGCCCTTTGTGGAGAAGGGTCTGCTATTGCCACATATCTCATACATGCTATCACTTCAGTTGTTAATTTATGGATAGCGGGAAGATGTCCAACCATTTTGGCAGAGTTTGTTGCATCCGCTCCTCTCACGCCTCTACTTAAACCTGACAACGGGATCCGTTCGATTGCAGTAGGCACTATATGGAGACGTCTGGTTTCCAAGGTTTCCATGAAAGGTGTGGGTAAAGAAATGACCAATTACCTTAATGATTTTCAGTTCGGGGTTGGTGTATCTGGCGGTGCTGAGGCTGTGTTACACAGTACCAATAGGGTGTTGAGTGAACACCATGCTAATGGGTCTCTTGTAATGCTGACTGTGGATTTTTCGAATGCCTTTAACCTAGTGGATCGTTCAGCATTGCTCCACGAGGTTAAGAATATGTGACCTTCCATTTCTTCGTGGGTGAATTTCTTGTACAGGCAAGCAGCGAGACTTTATATCGGAGACCAACATATATGGTCTGCCACTGGGGTGCAGCAAGGTGACCCATTGGGCCCTCTTCTTTTTGCCCTTGTTTTGCACCCGCTTGTACACAAGATTAGAGACAATTGTATGCTCCTTCTCCATGCTTGGTACCTAGATGATGGGACTATCATTGGGGATTCAGAAGAGGTGGCTAGAGTGTTGAACATAATTCGGTTGCATGGTCCAGGTTTGGGTATTGAGTTGAACATCAAGAAAACGGAGATTTTTTGGCCCTCATGTGATGGTAGGAAGCTTCGTGCTGATTTATTTCCTACGGAGATACGGAGACTTTCTTTGGGGGTGAAACTCCTTGGGGGGGGGGGTTGTTAGCAGAGACGCAGGGTTTATTAGCGGGCTGGCCATGAAAAGAGCGGTCAATGCTGTTGATTTGATGGGCCTTCTTCGACAACTATGTGACCCGCAGAGTGAGCTCCTTTTGCTTCGATCATGTATGGGCATTGCAAAACTTTTCTTTGGTTTAAGAACATGTCAACCGGTACACATAGAAGAGGCAGCGTTATTCTTTGACAAGGGATTGCGCAGGTCTATTGAGGATATGGTGGTATGTGGATGCCCCTTCTTTGGAGACATTTAGTGGCGCTTGGCTTCCTTACCTATTCGTTTCGGTGGTTTGGGTTTGTACTCGGCCTACGAGGTTTCCTCGTACGCATTTGTAGCCTCGAGGGCCCAATCTTGGGCATTACTTGACCACATCTTACGTGACAGTGGCATATGTGGTATGGACTCGGGTTACCTATGTGTTATGACTCGTCTTCGTGATACGATTCCGGGATTTGACTGTAGCGGTTTCACTAATAAGGACACCCCCCCCCCCCCAAAAAAAATCCCAAAAAGCTTTGGCGTGTGCCCTTTTTAGCAAAATCGTCAAAGATATGAAAGTCAATTTCGACATGACTGTCAGACAGAAAACAGTCTTTGAGTGTCTACGTGCGCCTTATGCTCAGGATTTACTGCTAACTATCCCTATTGATGGTCTTGGCCAGCATATGTCTCATGTGGAGTACCGAACTATCCTTCGTTACCGCCTCATGATTCCCATATTCCCAATTGACGAGATATGCCCAGTTTGTCGCAAGGCATGTTTGGATACCTTTGGGGAACATGCGGTTCATTGTAGAGAGCTCCCTGGTTTCAAGTATAGACATGATGTGGTTCAGGATGTTCTCTTTGATGCTTGTCGGCGTGCTGGTATTTCTGTGAAGAAAGAAGCGCCAGTAAACTTTTTGACGGACCCGCAGGATGGCAGGTCCACACTTAGACCGACTGACATTTTGGTCTTTGGATGGATAGGAAGGAAGCATGCATGTGTGGATCTTACAGGTGTCTCTCCTCTCGTTGGTTTGGGGAGCGGAGGTTTCGCAGCTGGGCATGCCGCTTTGAAAGCCGCTGCGTGCAAAGTGGTAAAGCATTCGATAGAGTCCAACGGGTCATGCATTCTAATGTCATATCTCCTAGATCCACAAATGTTGTTTTCAAAAGAATTAGTTTTACTATCCAAAAAGAACTAGCGGCGCAGCTTGTTGCCCGTTACCTACAATCGATATGTATTGAATTTTCATGTTAATATTAATTTAATCATGCATTCTAGAAACATATGTGAAAATATGGTATGTGGTGTCCTTTGAATCCAATAGATCACACACGTACATCCAAGAGTGCAAGAGTTAGAAACCATAAGTACGCATACTCTCATTTGTTTTAAATATGCTAAAATTGTGAATTTTACCAAAAAAATAAATTTCATAATTTAATCTTGTTTTATTTATAAAGTAATTAAGATAAGATTATCATAGTAATAACATATCATATTAATTATTAATAATATACTTAACCGTTTTTTTTAAGAGATGCTTAGAACCAACAACTTGATCTAGCTATTAAAAAAAAGACAAAATTGCAAGAATGATCCCTGTGGTTAAGACGAAATTGCCACTTTGGACCAAACATGTTTGGACTAGCATTAATGATCCAAAGGTTTTCATTTTCTTGCCACTTTAAGTCCAATTTACTATAAATTTTTTCGTAATGACAATTTTGCCCTTGGTTTTTACTTTTTCAATGTTTTTTATTTATTTAAACAGTTTTATAATTAAAAGAAAAATAAAAAAATTAAATACATCTCTCTTTCCCCTTCTATTGCCCTGCACCAATCAACATCGCCTCCACTGGCAACCCCTAGCAGCACCACCGGTTACCACCACCACCAGTCCACCACCCTCGATTTTACGGTAAACACCACCATCACTGGTAACACCTCACTCTCCCTCCTGATGAACTCCCTCTCTTTCTCGTGATGAACCACCGTTGGCGACTATATCATCTTGCCAGAACCGCCAACGTCATCATCACTTTTGCCATACCGTCAACCACCACCACCACCTCATGGACACCCCCGATTTTCTGATCTAAACACTCTGATTTTCCAATATGAAGACCCTGAATTATACGATCTGAAAACCCCCAATTTTCCGATCAGAAAACCCTCGATTTTCCGATCAAAAAACCTCCACCATTGTTTAGGAACCCTAACTCTAGCACCGTCAAATCTAAACCAAGACAAACGATATGACGAAGTAGGGAAACCCTAAGCGGCCGATTGGAGCGTCAGCGCTAGGGTTTTATGAATCTCGTAGCCCATACCATCATTATAGAAGGATATAGATGAAGAGAGAAGAAGGTGAAGCTAGCATTTCTGAAAACGCGAATTCTGGAGCTAGGGTGTCTTACATGTAGTGGCGGCAGCGGATGCGAAATGAACAACATTGACAATCACCGGTGTTTGTTGACGACGATGTGTTGATCCAAGGCGGTAAAGGAGGTGACGAGTTCGACCAGATCTTCGTCATATTTCCAGGTCTGAAGCGAAGGTGTTACACCGGACAACAGGTGGCGGGAGGATGGTGGTGCTCCGACGAAAATGGCGGACCCTTCTGGTTTGCTGTCAAAAAACATCTCCGGTAAGGAATCCTCTCGTTGCCAGAAACCTCGGTCACCAGCAAAGCCACCAGAATCTGGTGGTGTTTCAATTTTCTTAATGGGAGAGAGAAAGAGAGGGGATGGGGTGATAATACAAATAGATTTTTCTTTTTTTCTTTTCTTTTTAGTTATTGTAATTATAAAAAATAGAAAATATAAATATAAAGGGAAAAATAGTTATTTTACAAAAAATTCAAAAGAAATTGGACCAAAATAGAAAGAAAATGAAAACCTTTGGACCATAAATGCTATTCCAAACCTGTTTGGCCCAAAGTGGCAATTTCGACCTAACCATAGGGACCATTCTTGCAATTTTGTCTAAAAAAAATTATTTGGTTGTTTCAACTTGTTGTCCGGCCCATCCATGATCCATCTTAGAACAATAAATTCACCGATGTTTGTTTCACACACTTTCCACCCGCTCTTTCAAATCCAAGTCATCTCTCTCTCGTTTCTGTATATATCTACATCAGAGAAAGGATTGATTTCTGCATAAATATCCAGCTAACCTCTCTCTCTCTCTCTCTCTCTCTCTCTCTCTCTCTCTCTCTCTCTCTCATATGCATATATATAGAAATTGAACTACTAAAAAAAGGAAACCAAAAGCTTAGCTTAAAATGGGAGTTTTATCGTTGATATCAGGATGGCCAGGGCGGAGTGGATTCGGATCTGCCTCCACCGCTGAACAAGTTTCTGCTTCCATCGATGCCTCCGATCTCACTGTTATCATTACAGGTATAATTAAATATTTATATCAATTAATATATCAATCATTTTGTATTATGTATATGCATCGATCCACTTCCGTTGAAAGATATTGTGAGATTATAGTTCGATTAAGTCTACACGAATATGAAACGCATGCATCGTTCTCTCTTCTTGTTTTTCTCTCACACACTTTGAACTGTGTGTGTGAGGGAGAGAGAGAATAAAAAAAAGTTGGAACTCCAAGCATGCTGTAAAGTAGGGCAACATGTACCAATCACGGAATGTTTGTGAATGGACTAACATAACCCTTTGGAAGTAGATACATCACATTTTCGTGACCCAACGGATAATTATTTTCGCTAAAAATATACAAAGATGGATTAAAAAAAAAAGACAAAACGTATTATGTTTGCTTTATGATCAAGAAAACTCATTTTCATCTCTTAACCGAATCATTAATTCTTATGTCTAGAAAAAGTTATTTATTGGGACGGATTTTCAATACCATCTACGGCAAGTATATGTAGTATTGATTTTTTTAGACCTACAGCACACACACACACCTCATTACTCTATTTCAAAACTAGACCATTTTTATGCTATAAGTTATTTGATATAGGCAATAGCATTAACTTTAATACCAAATGTCGATCGATTTTTAAAATTTCTCTGTCTACGACGTCGTATAATTAATCATGACGAGTTTTTCTAGTTTGAAAATAATTTATAATTATACCGTTGTCAAACATCTATATTTATACTTTCATGAAATTGAAAGTATAGATAGGTCGTAGAGTATGAGCACATTAGATTTGTATTTCCTTCACAATATTGAGAATTCAAATCACATTTGAACATAGAATTAGATTAGATTTGTTATTTAGAAAAACAAGGATCTGAACATTTTTTATTTATACTTTCGTGCAATTAAAAAACGTTGTAATAGAATTGGTGCTGAATTTCCAATTTGTTATATACTTTTATATGTTTTATGAAAATAGAAGAAAATATATACAAAGGATACAAACTTGCTAACTTTTAAATACTAATACTTTTTATAAAATTTTAAAAATGTTTTATATTTAACAGTTGCAAAATTTATAACTATCTATATATTTTAATATAAGTTTAATTAAAATAAAAGCTACCTATAAAACCAAAAAAGGTGATAAAAAGTACATTCAATAAGCTAAAAATGATAAATTGCACTATTTGAACAACCCATGCCGATATGAAAAGTGAAACACTAAGCCCAGTGGTATCAAATATTATTTTCCCTCCTTGAGATCGAGGGTTCAAATCTCACTGTGGATATAAGTAAAATAATTTATAAGTAGTTTAGTATATATATTTCTATTTGTCATTAAAAAAAAAAAAGAATCACTAAGCACTAACAATAATTTGGCATATCATGATTTGAAACATTAGGGTGTAATTAATTGAGTGGAATCAACGCATAAGATATCTGAGACAGACTCGAAAAACACTTAAGATCGACTCGGTTGGAGTTGAGCTCGAGCTACTCGGGTATATTATTGAGTCGAGCTCGAATATTGGAATATCGGCTCATGAAGCTCGCAAGTTTATTCAAGCTAAGTTATATTTACATTTTTACCCTTAGGTTTATTCATATTAAACATATTCAAGCCAAGTCGATTCGAGCTTACAAGCTTAATTGTATGTATTTCTATTGAAATTTACTGTAATTTTAACTTTTAATAGCTAATTGTGTTGAGCCAAGCCGAACTCGAAAGTGTAGATTACTTTATGGAGCTACAGTCTGAGTTTGAAACTAAGGCTCGAATTGAGTTTTGAGCTCGGTTTTTTTAACCGAGTTGAGTTTTGAGCTTAGCAATACTCTACTCGATTACACCTCTAATGAAAATCTATGTAAAATTACATACCTTAACCACTAGTCTTTTATCACTGAGAAAATAAAACTCTTTGTCTAGGTAGAAACTACCAAATTTATTCTATGAATTTTATCACAGTGACCGTTCTAGACACTGGATTTGATATCACCGGACACTAATCAAATGTGAAATGTGGGTCAAGTCTATTTAATTCGAAATTGATGTGGCAACCATATTCTGGCTAGTATGTTTGTATATAAATGTACAATTGAAGCTACGACTATATATTCATGAGCAATGCAAAAACCCTTGTATGCAATTTGCAAAATAACTAAATCGACAAAGAAATTCATATTCTTATTGTATATATTTTATATTTTTGAAACATCTATAATCGATACAAAAAGATATTATGAAAAAAAAAAAAGTATAAATTCTTCAAACACTTATTGATGATTAAAGGAAAGTTATGTCAATGTATGATTATTGAGATTATTGACTCTTCCTAAGAGAACTCAATATATATATATATATATATATATATATATATATATATATATATATATATATATATATATATATATATATATATATATATATATATATATATATATATATATATACACACACTAAGAAATGAAAATAATTTTGTCACATAACACTCTCTTATTAACTTGTACACATGTCAGTTTTTTGTGTTTTTGATTAAATGTTTTTCTATTTGTCATTTTTTTTTATATCTTTTCTTAATTAACAATCATATTTACATCTCAATTAATAATTGATTTAATTGAAAATAACCAATAATTTACAATATTAGTACTTATATAATATTTAATATATTTTCTTTTAAATTCAAATTTTAAATTTTAAATTTCAAATCAAAATTTTCAATTTTAAATAAATTTTTGTTTAATGTTTCATATATATATATATATATATATATATATATATATATATATATATATATATATATATATATATATATATATATATATATATATATATATATATATATATAGAATCAATTAATAACTCTTTGTAATTTTAATAAAACTCCATACCCACAAAATTAGAATGATGGTATCTTAGGTAATTTCAAGCATACAATTTAAACCAAACATTACCTACCATACAAGATTCAGTAAGATAAGATTCATAACTAATTATTCAAATTAAACATATAATTTAGTAGACTTAGAAAATCATATAAAAATTGAAAAACGTTATTTTTGACGTTCAAATCTAAGATTATAAAAATGACATATTTGGGGGTAAATCTCTGATCCAACTAGTGATAACATCACCTTAATTTGTAGTCTCTACATCACAAACTCATAAATCTAACATTTCAATAATATATAATATGATTTCATAATATCATAATAAAGTGTTTAAAGACATGCATTTGAATATAAAAAATGGTTATAACTTAATTTGTGAAAAAAGAACTTTTTAAATTGTATTTTAAGTTGTTAGCAAACATATTTTTTTAAAAGGTAACTAACTCATATTTTATCATCTCCTCACTTTTTTTTCAATGTTACATTTTGGTTTAGATTTTAAATTTTGTTATTAATTTGATTCGAATATTAAATTTTATTATAAATTCATCCTAAATTTACTATAATTTTTAAATTTATTTTTCTACAACATTTTAAAAAAATTACAAACTTTTTAAATATTTTATAGTTATTATTTTTTATTTTTTATTTTAAATTAGTTGACAACATTTTTACTACTTGTTATACTTATTTACAAAAAAGTTATAAACTTGTCTTATATTTTTTGATGTAACATTTTAAACTTCAGTTATATCTTTTTAAATTTTTGTACACTCTCGTACAATTTAATACTTTCGTACGTTCTAACTAAAATGTTTAAAAACAGTTGGATAAACTTTCAATTAAAACATATAAAAGTGTATCATTTTTTTAGAAAATTTACAAAGTGTTTTTGTTTTAAAATTGTATGAGTGTCAAAAAAAAATTTAAAAGTTACGTATCAAGTATAAATGTTGTATAAAACAAGTTTAAAACTTTTTTTTAAAATAAGTATAACAAATAGTAAAAATATTGTATATTAATTGAAAAATAAAATTGTAAAGTAATTAAAAATTTTAAAAAATTGTTGAAAAATCTATAGAAAAGTTTTAAGAAGTTGTAGAAAAACAAATTTGTAAATTAAACTAAATTTGTGATGTATTCGTAAAAATTTAATATTCGGACTAAATTCATAATAAAAATTAAAATCTATGCCAAATGCGTGAAATGAGAAAGGATTTACGTTATCAACTTCAAATGGTAGGTATAAACAAACCAATAGTTGATAACCCTTTTAAAGTGTGTTTGGGATTACTTTTTTAAGCTAAAAGTTTTTTTTATAAAAAGAACTTTTTCTAGAAGAATGTATTTAAAATGTGTTTGGATGGATTTTTAAAACTTTTAAGAGATAAAAGTCAAAAGTCACAAAAAGATGAGATTTCATGACTTTTTAAAAGACTCATTTTTAAACATGACTAAAAATTAATTTAAAATGATTTTTCTATTTTACCAAACATCTTTTGAACTTTTTTTACTTTTTGTAAAAGTTAAAAATCCAAAAGTTATTTTAATAGCAAAATCCAAACACCCCCTAAATATTTAAATGCACATGTCGGAAATTTAAAGACATTTTGAAAAGTTTATTTCCTAAATCGAGTGATATCACTATTAAAAAAATATTTAATACCCAAATGTCATTCAAGTTGATGTTTATTTTACAAGTCAATGCAATAGTTGAAATATTTTTTTTTCTCTTTGAGCACACGTCATGTTTGTATAATAAAATATATGTTTTTGTGAGAATTTTTTTAACACAACTACGACAAATAAAATGGCTAATCCTGGATTCTAATATTCTAAGTTCTAACTACAAAGCTTGTCCTTCCTAGAAGCAATTACTATTGGTTCGTAGATGACATTTGTAGGACTAGGATAAATTGTTATGGAACATTAATAATAGAAGCGTACGCCTTTTTTGAAATTATCTATCAGATTTTTGTTGGTTATAATTGAATTGAAATTCAACAAACATTAGATGGATCCAATCGAATAGATTCGATAACCAATATAAAATATCCAATAGACAAAATTGATCGGTTATATCTTACTAATGAAAATCAATAATTTGAATTGGTTCTGTTCAAAAACATTAGACGTAAGCCGATGAAGTTTTATACAAACATTATATATATATACATCACAACATATGTACACGTGTATGCACACACCCTTTTATACCAAAATCTTGCAAACTTTCTAAAATATTTATAAGAAAGGTCCAACACAATTCATACTAGTAAAACATGGAAGTGGTTTCAAGATCCTGTGTTTAATATTATTATTGTCATTTTTTTAAGTCTCATCTGGTATTTTGGATATTTAGAGACTAAAAGAAATTTTAAAATGTGAACAAATTCAAAATGCAGGAGGGGCAAGTGGGATTGGGTTAGAGACAACAAGAGTATTAGCAATGAGGGGGGCTCATGTGATTATAGCTGCAAGGAACATGAAAGCTGCAAATGAAGCTAAACAACTTGTTATTAAACACAATGAGAAAGCTAAGATTGATGTTCTTGAGCTTGATCTTTCATCTCTCAAGTCAATTAAGACCTTTTCTCATAGTTTCAAAGCTCTTAATCTCCCTCTCAACATCTTAATGTAAGTCATCCAAAATCTTTACACCTACCATGTTAATTCTTGCAATTACATAATACATATGTCCTAACTTTTTCACAAATTTATCCTCATTTGTATTTTCCTTCCAATTCCCCTAAATATGACATCATTAAAAAAAAAAAAAAACAAATATTATTTATCCATACGACATTCTACTCAAATTTGCAGAAACAATGCTGGTATCATGTTTTGCCCGTACCAACTCTCGCAAGATGGGATAGAGATGCAATTTGCGACTAATCATCTAGGTAGGCATCTACTCTTCTCAGAAGGGTAAAACGGGAATCAAAAGTTTCGTTTTAAATTATCTTCTTGAATATCACCATTAAAGTGATAATTACTAAAACGTAGTTTTTTGGGAATTATTGTTGTGGCAGGTCACTTTTACTTGACAAACCTACTACTAGACAAGATGAAGGAAACCGCTGCAGCTACCGGAATCGAGGGTAGAATTGTAAACTTGTCATCGGTAGCTCATGTCTATACTTACGAAAAAGGGATCAGATTTGATAAAATCAGTGATAAAGATAGGTAAATTTGTTCTTTAATTTCGTTTAATATAATGACATTTTTACCATAATATTTTTTTTGTAAAACAGCTATTCAGACAAAAGGGCATACGGCCAGTCCAAGTTAGCAAACATATTGCACGCGAATGAGCTCTCTCGACGCTTGAAGGTATTAATTAGATATTAAATAATTAATTAATATGTTTTTCTATTTGTCAATAATCTTAATTTAAAAATTAAAAATTGAAATTCAGGAAGAGGGGGCGAATATTACAGTAAACTCGGTACACCCAGGGATAATAATGACAGATCTCATGAGGCATTCCTTGTGGCAGATGAGTAAGTGTATTCTTATTTCTAAACTCTAGTTCTCTGTATAATATTAGACAGAATTGTATTCATTGATTCACAACTGTGGTTTTTGGCAGGAATCTTGAAGCTGTTCACTTATCTCTTTTGGAAAAATGTCCCACAGGTATTCTACTATTCTACCTCCATTACTATATGTCAATTTATATGCAACGTTTTATGTAAAAAATGATTTTTATTTATTTATTTATTTATTGTAGGGTGCAGCAACAAGTTGCTATGTAGCAGTCCACCCAGGGTTAAAAGGGGTGAGCGGGAAGTACTTTCTGGACTGCAATGAATGGCCAGCAAGCAAATTTGCAAATGATCCTGAGTTGGCAAAGAACCTCTGGGACTACAGCAACAATCTGGTCAACTCTCTTCAGCGTTGACTTCACCATCCTTTTTCATCTAATGCAACTTTAATATTATATGTTTTATACTTAGCTTAATCTTGTCACATTTAATTAATATTCTAGTGGTTGGAGAAATTCATGCGGGTTTGTATTCAAAGAAGTAAACAAATTATGAAAAAAGTTGAAATATATATGACTGGAATAAACAGTCAGTACAATAAAAAAGAAGGATAAATAACAAGTGAAAAGAAGGTAAAGGTAAAGAGCAAGAGGTTTTTTTTTTTTTTTTTTTTTTTAATTAAGTGTGATTTGAGGAGAAAGCTTTTTCTAGATTGAGCACAAGGAATAGAAAGGCAGCTAATGATAAGATGAGTGCAGCAAGCATTAGAAAAAGCATGGCTTGCAGTGAGATATATGGACTCAAAAAGAATACAACTGCAATTGAAGCACTCTGCCACAGCTTCAGTTGTGCAAATGTTCCTTCCTGTTCAAAAATCAAAATCACACAGGATATATAAGTTCATTTAAATATCTTAATAAACCTAATAAAAAAATTGAAAAATAAATTCAAACATGGATTACCATGTCATGCTTGAACAACATTGCCAACAAGGCATTTAGTTGTGTCATGAGCACCCCATCTCCTATTCCCCATATGGCAGCAATCAGAAGTGGATATACTACTCCAAGAGCACCAGTAGGCACACTGCAAAAATAAAGGGAAAAGATTTTAGATTTAAAAATTATTTTTTCACAAAAACTAACAGGAGAAAAATATCACCTGTAATTCAGGAGCCAGATCAATATACCACACTGAAGAAAAGCTCCACCAGAAACAATCACAGTGATCGATGTGAGACCTGATGTAAACCGACCAGCAGCTAGAGAACACTGATACAAGTTTCAAATTTAGTCCATATAGTTCACACAACGACACAAATAGTCCCTTCACTTAGAATCATGTCACTTACAATCGCATCGAAAACTCCATATACAGCCATGGCACCACCTACACCTGACTCACCAAGAGATGGTTGAACAAAAAACTTTGTGAACTCTGCCCTAAAATGATAAAAAAAAAAAAATAGAATCCAAGGTTAACTGAAGAAAAATGAAAATGGAAAATTTATATTGATGGTGTTGTAAGTTGACTTATGCATACCAGACAAATGCTTGTTGTAGACCTGAATATGCTATAAGTGGGACAATTAATAACATCCTTGCGTCACATAATGGAGTTATCACATGCTTCCATAAAGATATTAGGAAAGAATAGAAACTAAGAGAGGAATCTCTTTGTTCATCTGTTTCTTCATTGTCCCTTTTCTTTAAGAATGCCATTAGAAAAGTTCCCAAGGTCATGCTGCCAAGAAAGACAGTGAAAAGTAAAGTTGTGCCACTTGTACTTCCCTCCTGTAAATAATTAAATAATAATTAAAAAAAATAAAATAGGTAGTGGTTGTTAGAAGCAAATTTAATGGGATCAATTTAGTTATATAGATTCTTACAGTTCCATCCTTCAACAGAAAAAGAGTCAAAAGATTTCCAACTAGCTGAAAAGTTCAATAGAAATAGAAATTAGTTTATCAGTTCACAGCTTTAATCGCTTTAATAAATAATTGCCTTTGTTAACTGAAAGTTTAAACTACACCTGATGAGTAGCAAAAATCGCCCAAAATTCTCCATTGAAGTGACCGATTACAGTTCCTTCATGTAGCTTGTGATCAATTGCTTGGCTCCTTGCAGCAGAGGTAAGGTATGTCCCCTGATATACAAAGATATACTCAAATAGTAAGCAACAAATATATTAATTACTCTTACAAGTCAAAAATATTGTATAAATGTTTGAATTTATAAAATTAAAAGGATCTCAAAAGAAAAGATATGTACCTCCCCAACCCATAAAATAGCAGCAGCAAATCCAAGGTACAAAGAAGCTGGCACCATTGTATACCTATGAGGGAGGAAAATGGAAAATGATAGAATCAAAATTATATCACAAATTGACAGAAGAGTAGAAGACATTTAACTGAGATACAAAAGAAATGGGAGTTTGTTAAAAATGAATTTAACAATTATAAGTAAATCATGGATTTAGTAGCAGCATTGCAAGACTGATAATTACCAGGATGGTTTTAAATTTGCAGCTATGTATAGCCAGTAACCTGTAGTACCAAGAAGCAGAGCATTCTTTGATCCAAGTTTTCTAACAACTGAAGAGGCAAAAAGTGAAGAAACTGTGAAAGATGTGTACAATATGCCAAGTGAAATTGTTCCCAGATCTCCATCCTGTAATAACACAAAACATTTAATGATCACATAAGATTATATAACCATTCATATCTGATTTCTTCTCCCTTAATCCAGATACAGTTACAAATATCTACTTAAACGACTTATGAGAAAAAAGATAAGAAACACACAGATGATACAAGTGTTTTGACTAGCGAATTAATTCCTCCTTTTCTATCTGCTGTGCTGATTTTGTTCAATAATGGAAACTTTTCTAAAAAATATCGAGTTTGAAGTGTCAACACCAATTAAATGTCCATAATTTTTTAATCAATTTACAAAGTTATTGACAGCAAACTCAGAAGACCTAGTCACTTAAGGCTTATACATCTACACAAAATAATCAACCAACCATCTGTAACTACGACTCCATTCCCTCAAAACATATACCTTGACTTTTGAGGTCAACATTATGACTCCTCAAATCCAAATTGATATCGATTTTTCGCCAATTTAATATTGAAGTTAGCAAAGGTTTTTCAATAACTCTATACAATCATTGACCGAAAAAGGTGGAAAGGATAGAGTCCTTAATCCAACTTCTCTCTGATAAAAATTGATGCATACAAACATCGAGCAAATTTAACACAATAATTAAACTGAAAATTATATATGCAGAACCAGAAAAAGGAAACTCACAGTGTTGAGTGTGCTCTGCAAATTCTGAGCAGCGCCGTAAGCAAGGAAAATCAACAAGAACGCCCAGCTCAGAATATGAATGTCTCTGCTATGATTAAGCGTTTGAGTTCCATTTTGATTCTGGTCAACAAGCGGTGATTCTTCATCCGTGGCCATCTATTGATTCGACTAATGATCGATCCTTGATATCTCCAGTATGAGACACTAACTTTACAGAATCATAGGTACATGGATATTATCGATTTATATATACAAATATACATAAATTTAACAAAAAATTGGAGCGCCGGCGAGAGCAGAAGGTATAAATTATTGATGGAATCGGAAGGATCTGATAGACGACACAGAGAGAAGAATCTGTAGAATCTGGTGTGTTTGTGTGTGTGTGAGTTGCTTTAGATTTTTAACAACTTATATTATTGTTAAATTATTTTATTCATAAAAATTCAAAATAAAATGAAATTTTGGCGATTAGTTGGGTTTTTGAAGATAAATTAAAAATCAATACAATAAAATAATAATATCGTAACAAAGTAAGAAATTCATGACCGAAAATACAAGAAAGTAGCACCTAAAAATTTTAAATCATATAAGTAAAGGGATCAATTTGTTCGTAGGCCGGTTTTATAGGGGAGCATATTGCAAGTTAACGTTAATTTATATATTAATTCGTTTGGTGGGAAAATAATAAGACGGATAATCTGACGCCTCATTATTTGTCCGTTACCGTGAAGGAGACCACATCGTTTTCTTTGTCTTGTCTTTTTCCATTTGATACCTGATTCAGTTGAAATTTTAATTGATTTTTCTACTTTCCTTGTATATTCCTTATAATAATACAAGCTATATTAATAAGAATTTTAAAAGGATTTTAATTAAAATACATATTTGAAATTTGTGGTTTTTTATTCCATTTATTATTTATACTAAAATGTTAAAACTGTTTTGTTAACTACAACAAACTAAAAAGGTCACATGTTATTTCCTACTGTCAAAAGCTTCATTTATGAAGTTAGAATATAAGATGGGGAGTTGTGAAGTGTTAGTAACACCACAGTTGGAAAATAAAGTTGTTGCTAGTCTATTATGGCAAAAATGTGCATGTGTGGCTACTCATAAGAGCCTCTGTGATTGACGTGTCGGTGTGAACTCAAAAAGATAGTTACACAGATTAATTGTATATACATACTTGTGGGGAGATTACTGCGGATCCAAATGAATTTTTGAACATATCTCAACCGATGCAAAACACATTAAAAAAATATATATCAAACACTTAGTTTCATGAACAAGTGCAAACACAACAACCAAATATAGACAACAACTGGCATTTACATGGTTGGACAAAGTGGAGATCGTGTACACCCACAAGGAGAAATGTTGTATTATTATGAACCCTAATGTTTAAAAATGACGAGGTAACTGTAAGAGTAAGAGAAACATGAGATGATGTGGATAAAACATTACTCGATGTATAAAATGTGTTTGGAAAATGAGTGAAACACTAATGGTGACAAATGGTCCATTTGGCCATCTGTCCAAAGTACATTGGCTAAGATTGGATAAGTTGGTGAAAGAGGTACTTTGGGTTTGTTGAAGGATAGATGCAAGCTCATAAAATGAATATAAAAATTATAAATAGGTTAGTTTTTATACTGCTGTAAATGGTTGGTTTTGAAAGTATAACACTATGTATGGAAAAAAGGAAGTATAATTGGTTAGGTTTCTATAGTTTCTTAAGAGGAAAACTGATAGCAAAAAATCAAACATGTTTTATATTTTCAAACCAAAGTCAAACATGTTTAAATTTTCAAAATAAAATATCTTAATAGGAAAAATATAATATAATTAAGTACATTGTTTTAAAAGATTAGAGTTTGAAATTATCATTCTGTAGTAGAAGGTAATAATGTCTTTGTAATAAATTAAACTAAAATATCTTAATATGAAAAATAATAGAAAGATAATTGGTAATCAGAATAAAACAAATTTATATTTTGGGATAATGACTTAAAAGAGTAATATATTTTTTGATTTATACACATTTAATCACTTGATTTTTTTTTTCGTCCACATTTACCCCCTTCAACTTATTAAACTGTACAAATTAATTTAGTCCTTATGACCAGCTACTCCAGGTTAGCCGGTAAAAATGACTTAATAGGGTAATATATTTCTCACTTTGTACATATTTAGTTCTTAATATTTGTGTACACATTTAGTCCTTAATATTTTTTTTGTTGCAAAATAAATCATTTTTGTTTTTGTATTCATTCAGTATTTTTGAATGATTTCTTTAGATTTTCTCACGACATCTTATATGTTTTAGGCCAAGATACTTGGTGCGGACTGACTATAAGCTATAGGCACGGAGACTTGAGAAGAGCGGTAGGGTTAAGGTAGCATGTCAACAAACCTTCGGTATTCTAGCCCGAGCCCGATGACTGATTGGACCTATTACATGTTGGCATTCCAATCCGATGATTGATTGGGCCAATGTATTCCAATCTGATGAGTGTGGGTCCGTTATGCATAATAATACGTTTTTTGTATCGGGTATTTTAGGGGAAACTGACTAAACTTTGTGCTTACCCAGTTGTTTATGTTTTCAGGTTCTATCGTTGGTCTTGGGAAGGAGAATGCATAACTGTACACACTCATCAACAATATTGGGGATTTTGCGTTTCTTATATTACTCTGATTTTCGATAAATATATTTTGGAATAAATGTTTTTTTTTCTTAATAATGGATTTATAATTAGGGAGTTTTGCCTTATTTAAAAATGAAAATTTTTGGTTGTGAAAATGAGACATTACACATAAATATCAACAACCCCACACACTTCATCAATGATTGTCCCACGTAAGATATCGTGAGAAAAACCTAAAGAAAACATTCATAAGTACTAAATGTGTATAAAAACAAAAATGGCATATTTTGAAACAAAAAAAATATATATTTAGGACTAAACGTGTACAAAAATATTAAGGACTAAATGTGTATAAAATGAGAAATATATTACCCTATTAAGCCATTTTTCCCGGGTAACCTGGAGTAACCAGTCATAAGGACTGAATGTGTACAGTTTAACAAGTTAAAGAGGTAAATGTGGATGAAAAAAAAAAACTCAGTGACCAAATGTGTACAAATCAAAAAAATATAGTACCCTTTTAAGTCATTATCCTTTATATTTTGTTACAACGTAAATTTTCAGACAAAATTTTCATTTTAAAACACAATAAAACTCATTTTTACATTTTCTAAAAAACCAAAAGTGTCTCAAATGTCAACAAATCTACAAATACAAATCACTATCCAGAATCATGAAAATAAGCTTGCTCCAGTGTGTACTATCAAGTCGGTGCCTTCCCGTGATCCTGAGAGGTACCTAAAACACATAACACATAACACGGTAAGCACGAAGATTAGTGAGTTCCCCAAAATACCACACATATCTCATTAGCCTCTCATGGCTATGCTCAAATAAGACCCTCTGGTCAATGTGTCTCAATGGGACCCTCCGGTCCCGCAACTCAGGTGGACCCTCTGATCCTAACTCGGTAAGCTCAGAATAATACACGACACAAATCACAAAGACATAATGCAGGATATCACAATACTCAATATAACACGTAAGACCCTCCGGTCACACAAGGATTACCACACTAGGTAAAGTATAGTGAGAAGACTCACCTCGTAAGCTTGCAAGTAATAATATCGTACACGAATCTCGAACTAGCCTCAACCTAACACATAAGATAATAATCCTTAATTAACACTTAAATCGTGATTCGAAATAAACTAGGTTATTGTCTTTCTCAAACTCTTCGAATGGATAAAAGACCAGTTTACCCCTCCATGGTTACCATTCTCCCTACCTTGACTAAACCCTAAAGTCGATAGAAGTCAACACTCGAGTCAGCTGTCCATGTTGACCTGACTCGCCGAGTGCATCTATGTGACTCGTTGAGTCCCCCTTGTTCCTTCAGAACATCATGAAAACCCAACTCAACTCATCGAGTTGTCTCGTCGATTCGTCGAGTTACCCATGTTCGGACTCATCAGGGAAAACCCTAGCCGACTCGTCGAGTCATATCGTTGACTTAGCGAGTCCCTTCAGTCTAAATTCTCATTCAGACGTTTTAAGGCAGATCTACCACTCCACATTCTAGGTCTAAGATCCCAAGGCTTGAATGTCATGTAAAGCTTTGATCTTTACGTTCATGCATGGCATATTTTGCTCCAAAATGCCATTACAACTCTAATAAGGGTGTTTAAGCAAAAATACTCTTATATGGTTGAATAAAGTTGGGACCTTTGGACTTTATGGACCTCACAAGGTCCATATATGAAGTCTAGACCTCCTGATAGACTCAATGCACTCAATTCCCAATAAAAAGGTGGTAAAATCCCTAACTTGCATAATCCTTAAATCTAACCAATAAGATGAGAAATGTGTAGGCTTTTTACCTTCCACAAAAGCTATGGACAATATAGCACTAGATCCAACAATTTCTCCTCGTTCCTCGTTGGATAATCTCCTATTCTCCTCAAAAGATGCATCAGAATACTCAAGATTAGCTCTATAACTCTCTTAGCTCACAACAAACATTTAGGGTTTCACACAAGGGAGTTGGGCAGCTGGTGAGGCAGAAATAAGGACATAAGTTCTCTTAAATAGGCCCCAACCCCGGAGATTTAGGGTTCACCTCACAACGCCAACTCGGCGAGTTGGCTCTCTGACTCGTCGAGTCGGTTATTAAACTCACGTGGCCAAATCGACTCTACTCGACGAGTTGGGCTCACAACTCGTCAAGTCATTCAGTAAATCTCAAAAATAAATACATAAATAATATACTTGGGAGCCTGGATGTTACATATTTTCAAAGAAAAATGCCTTGATATAAATAACTAAAAGTACAAAGTCTTAATTAGTAACCAAAATCAAACAAGTGCAATGCTTATTAGGTTTAAAATTTTGAATAAGTATAAAATATTAAAAGGGAAAAAGTTAAACATACAATATCTTATTAGGTTCAAATTTTAAATAACGTTATTTTGAAAGTTTTGTGTCTTAATTGGGAAAAATAATAAAAGTACATTATCTTATTATGTTAGATTTTAATTGAATAAAAAATAAAAGTGCAATGCTTAGAATTCTAAGTATAGTTTTCGATTGAAGAAAAAATGCTAGTATATTGATTACATCACAACAAAAAATCAAACAAGTTTTCGTATTTAAAAGTATTATGTTTTTGTAGGTGAAAAGTAAAGGCACTATGCTAAATATGGTTAGAACAACGAGTACAAAGTCTCACTAGAAATAAATAAATACAGACAATGTTTTATAGAAAAAAATAGAAATTGTAATGCTATTAACAAATCAGAATATTAAA